AGTCCCTAAAGAGTAAAGACAACATCAAAATTACCATTAATTTCATGGTTTGAGTTTATATTTGTTATTAATTGAACTTCATTGTACATTCTCTTTTCAAAATTTATGACGATTTTGCAGTTTGTGACAATTTAAAAAAAAATGGACATAATTAATCATCGACGAAACCTTGATGTGCCAAAATTTATTAAAATGGAAGCTCACTACTGATGTAGGGAAACGTACGAGTGTCAAGGATAAACGAGTAAACGAGATACTCTCTCGTATACGCAAAATTCACAATATCTAATCTTATTTCATTTAAAAAATCAACTCCCCTAACAACAAAGCACAAGAGCCATTTATATAAGACTCTTAAACTAAACTTTATCTTATTCTCCAAGCTAATAATAATAATAATAATAATAATAATAATAATAATAATAATAATAATAATAATAATACTATTATTATTATTATGCATCATTCTCTCCCGGTTGAGCAGGATTCGCCCTCGACTCCGACACGTCCCCGTTGGAGACGTCCCCATGACAGGAATAGCCTAGACAATTCCCCCGATCGAACACGAAGGTTGAATTGACAAGATCGAGAGAGAGTATTGAGCTCCTAATCTAATACTCGAAGCGTTTTTTATATCAAAAGCAACTATGCAGTGGAAATTCCCTGGGAATGTCTATTTTCAATTATGTTACATTGCTAAGCAAAGAATCGGATTGCATCCCGAATTATATTATAGGGGAGGGTACGACAAGAAATTTCTATGCGGGTAGCGAAGCGAAGCAAACTTTTGTTTTCATAGTCAAAGGTTCTTAACCATATTTTTGGTATAAAAAAAATGCGAAAAAACAAGAATTTTCCTTTTTTTGAATCAAAAAGAAACTTTGGGATTGCTGCATCAAAGAAAAAACGCTGCTTCAAATAGTTGATCGTAGTGTTTAGGCCTCTGGCTGGGGGGTGGTTCGACTCTTCATAACTAATCTTCTTTTTCTAAAGGCCGCTTCCCGGAAGGAAAGAGTGGTTTTAATTCTACGAAAATAATCCCTTTTATTTCGTTTTATCTTTTTTCCCACCTTCAGGCGCAAAATAAGCATCATTAATGAGGGATGAGACGACAGTTATTGATACGCATAACCCACACAACTGAATTAACACAAAACATACCATATCATTCGTCGCGCTCAAAACCATAACTACGGGGAAACATCCCGTTGTTGGGAGAGTTCACGATAGACAATCGGAAAATGGCCCACCAATTACTGAGCCTCGACTCGGCTCCGAAAAACCATCGTTGGCCAAGATACTCCAAACATCGGGTTTGAACAACGACATCCCCATCAAAGGCTCAACTTCTGCGACGTCCCACGTGGGACCCATATTGCTGAAAAAGTATGTCTCCGTCACCGGAGACTCCTCATCGAAAATAGGCGGACCGTCGTATAATAGTCCGTCATCTTCCTCAAAAACCACACATTGTTGCCGCACATCTTGGCCGTCGTGCGCAAGAACGAGCTCAGTCTCGACAGGCAGAGGCGACCACTCTCCGAAAGGATCCACCTCCGATGTTCTCCTCGATGTCTGCATCGTCGGACGGCAGTTGTGGAGATAGCCGACGGAGCACCCCGCCTGGAACACAACCTCCACTTCCTCCGTGAACTTTTCCACGCACACCCCGATCGCCGACGGCACGGTTCATCTGCAAATCCCAAACCACGTCGTTAAGCGTCAAACGCATATCCTCAATCCTTTTTTACGAGATCGAGATCTGCACACGCACGTCCAACTGTTGAAATCGGTAGTCAATCTGTTGAAAGTTGAAACCGGTCGTTGAAGGTTGCATCACGTCGTTTGTTTGCGGCATCTTGTCGTCCCGGCGACATCGCGAATCGTACTGACTGTTGATACTAACTAATGTAGAGAAGTGTACAAGTGGGAAGAATAAACGAGTAAACGAGATACTCTCTCGTAAAACACGCAAAATTCACAATATCTATCTATTTCATTAAAATAATCAACTTCCCTAAAAACAAAGCAAAGCACAAGAGCTCTTTATATAAAACTCTTAAACTAAACCCTAGCTTATTCTACAAGCTAATAATAATAATAATAATAATAATAATAATAATAATAATAATAATAATAATAATAATAATAATAATAATAATAATAATAATAATAATAATATACAAAAAAATGGAAAACATGTAAATTTCGGGATATCAATTTTTCTCTCTATTGTTAAGGTAAATAGACATATGAGGTTTAAATTAAAGCCTTGCTGTGATTGCCAATTCCATGACAGTCACAGTGACGAGGAGATAAGTTGATCATTAAGTCTATCATCTTCCGCATTTCTCAGCAGGAACCAAATATTTGATATGGTGAATTTTTCTGACACAACACAATTAGATACACCACTCACAGATGTAATGGATAGAATTTTATTTTTCCATGCATTTAGAAATGTAGAGAATAAGTTCAAGTGTCCGACTCCACATCAATATAGGAACAGAGGATACAAACTAGACGCAAAAACCAAACCGAACACAGCATAAGCAAAGTGCATTACACAGTTTGAACAAACAGTAAAGCCTATTGCAATCTCATACATGTAATAAGATCCTCAGTAGCAAACAAGGCTGAGAAGCAAAGAACCTGCAGGATGAACATTGAAATAGATTAGTAGGTTCGGGTCGAAATTATGTTTCTGTCATAAGGTGAAATTCATATTGATCCAGTATTTGTATCGACAACAGCATCTAGCAAGTCATATTCTTGTAAAAATAAGGGCCCAAAGAGACGGAAACTTAACAACATTTAACATATAATTCACTAGTTTATCAAGTTAAGCTTATAGTTGGCAAATGTGCAGACGAGAGATGCCTAGATTCACGGTTGAAGCACCGAAGAATTCCTCGAAATTGTAGGTGTGGATAGAATGCCAAGTACATATCTAACAACGGGTGAATCAATCAATCAGAAGGCAATTAAAATCATTGAGATAATATGTCGGTCAGTGTTGTATTTGGTTCATGATCATTTTGCATTTTCTTTCCTAACATGCTTGCCTCCTGCAACTTTCCGCGCCAACATATTTGTTCATTTGATGTATGGATGATTTTAGCAATAGGTATACAGATTTCCTATCATTTTACTCTTCCATTATCAAATTAACTAAGAAAATAATTATAAGGGCTAACCAGATCAAAGTCTACCAACCATGCCATTTTTCTTCATTTGACGTATCAATGATGCTTGCAACAGATATTCAGAATATCAATAATATCTGATCAAAGTCTACCAGTCTTGTCATTCTAGTTCTCAGCAGACAGAAGCAGCAGGGCTTGGTTTTTCAATTAAAGGTGCCCAGTTTTTTGCTTACAACTTTTCAAGTTGCATTATACAAAAATAAAGAAATACAAATTAAACATTGATTTGGTAGATAAATATAAATAATTCGTGAAAGTTCTTACAAACAATCCTATCAGCTATATTATGTTAGTATCTATCTAACCACGAGCTCATCAGACTGGATTTATTATTATTTAAAGAATTCAAATCCTAGAATAGTAGGTTATGTGGTGATAGAGTATAAGATATATACTAAGTTGTTCAAGACACAAGGTGGCGCCAAAATGTTTGAGAGTCGTGCACGTTTGTACTTCACTTCGAGTCGAACCTGGCAACTAGACTTGCTTTAGATTTAGGTCAGTGCAACTGACACTTGTATAGTTGCCACCACAAGCTCTTTATTTTAAGTCCAAAATCAAAATGAGATGCTCCTAATCTTAATGACATTTGAATCACGTTGTTAGGATCATGCAGTACAATGGGAGTTAAGGACAGCTCTGATTTAGATTGGAAAATATGTTGATAGTACAATAGAACGGACCATTTTATTATACATTGCATAACCCAATGTGTAACCACGTGAAGTTCTGAAAGCATCAATTAGACATCAAGATTTAGTTTCAAATTAGCATAACCACAAATGCTACAAATTATCCACTCCATGTTGCTCTGAGCAAACACTAGAGTAAGCTTCTTTTGGGGATAAGTATATGCGGAAAAAAACCTAAACCTATGCAATCTGGAAATGTGTTCATGACCCCCGTTGGTCAATCAGAAACTACAGCTACTGGACTCCCTATCGATTAGTTAGAACTCAGAAAAGGTATAATTGGCATATGTTCAACTTTATGCACTCACGATTGGAAATGTCTTGTCAACCACTTTTAAGGGTGGGGGGAATACTAAAGGGAAAAAGGTCGAGAAAGTTTTGAAGTAGGTCAAGCAATGACAACATTTGAGTTAGATGAGTCAGCGGCTTACATGTGAAACCACATAGGGCAACAAGCATGTAGCATCGAGAAACCTTCTACAAAGGGGGGTATATATCATGCATATATAAATCAATCATTCCGGAAAGCTGAAAACTGAATCGATTTGCTCGCAATGTATCAAAGTATAACCTGATACTAGTCAATGGCTATAATTAGGTGATTAAATGACAAATCAAATTAGAACTTCTATTAGATAACCACTCACCAACCTAAAAGGTAGACCATATGGCCGTATTGCATGATAGCCATGCTTACACCCTTGCAAATCACACGCATTTCAACCTCAATTTTAGGTAGTTTTATTATGTTTTACAAATCTATTTATTTCTTCCTTCTTAACTCTAGTTTCCAAGTTTTCTTACAAATAATCTGTATCAATCAAGCAAATACATATATTCATTACAAAAATTTACTTAACTAAACAAAGTTTCTAATAAACAAATCCTGGCCAATTAACTGAATTCACATATAGTCCTACAGTCCAAAGCACTAGAAGATAGTTCTAACTTCTAAATCACTAAGCCCAGCACACAACAACAACAGAAGCCAAAAAAAAAAAAAAAATGTAAACTTTGGTCAATATCAGCTCAAACGCATGTTAACAATGAATTACAACTTCACTAAAAATAAATACATACCCAGCAAAAAGCCAGACCACATCTAGGCAGCTCGTGAAGGAATCATCCCAGCTTTCCTGGCATAGGCGAAAATCCCACCAGCCTCAATGACAGGACCAGCGTCCCCAATCGGCTTCAACTTATACTCTTTCCCAGTAGTATGATTAATCAGCTTACTGTCACTCTCACCCAGCTCAATGGTCACAACATCCCCAGTGGTACACTCCTCGCACAGTCTCCCTTCCGACTCCAGCGGATAAACCTCACCCGTGGCAACCGAATTCCTGAAGAAGATCCGCGCATAAGACTCCGCCACCACAGCAGCCACGCCGGACGCACCCAGCGCCACAGGGGCGTGCTCACGGGACGAACCGCAGCCGAAGTTATCCCCGCCTATCACGATGGAGTACTTGGTCTTGGTGGCGCCGGGCTCCACGAATCGAGTCTGGTAGGAGGCCGGCAGGCCGATGAGGGCATAGGAGCCGAGCTTTTCGTACTCGTCCGGGTTGGAGGGGACGAGGGTTAGGTACTCGGCGGGGATGATTTGGTCAGTGTCGATGTTGTCTCCGACGACGTAGCACATGCCGTGGAATGTGGCAGCGGCGGAGCTTGACGCGGATGAGGGCGCGGCGGAGGCGGAAGGGGCGGCGGCGGCGGTTAGAGATCGAGCAATGCGATTCAGCTTGAGGGATTTCAAGGGGTGTGCTGGGGAATTGGCTATGGAGGAGAAGAGCTTCAAGGAGGAAGACGAAGGGTGGAGAGACGGAAAGCTAGGGTTTCGGGTTGAGGAAGCGACATTGGAAACGGAAGCTGAGAATGCTGCAGTAGCCGCCATTTTCGAAGAGATGAGAGGATTTGGCATTTGGGGAAATGCAACTAAAACTCTCAACCTTATATATATTTCCAACAAAATTCAATTCAATTTTTGATTTTTCAGTCTCACATAATTTCTTTTTGTAAAATGTAATCTGAATTACATATACATCATTTTTTGCACGCTCAGCCGACTTTTGACCATACGTTCATTCGCAAAAAAGAACGCATTTATGGTTATGATGTGGGTGAGCGTGTAAATAGTGATTGTATATGTAGTTCGTGTTGCAATTTACAAGAAAAAAAAATACTTTAGATTGAAAATCTTATAAGCACATATATTACAAGTTGGAAAAAAAATATTAATTCAATAAAAACACTAATCAAACACACCAAAAAAACCTTAAATACTACCCATATTTTTGCAATCTCAACATCCACTATATTATTTTATTTAAAATTTAAAATGTAACTCATACTTTTGCAATAGATGACATTAGCTTTTAATTTCGGAGATTGAAACCCACAGTCAACATAACAACTGACTTACGTGTCTAGTTAAAAATTATTAGAAAAAGCTTAATTTTTCTCTCTTTGGAGAGGAAAAAATCAAGAATTCAGAAGGGCCCCTTATTCTCGACCGACCGACAACACCGAGTAACTTTTCGGCCATGGTAGGGCCGACTACAGCGACATTCTCCTTCGACCCACCAACGACGACGACGTTCTTTATCTTTGACCTACCAGCGGCAGCTTGACATGGTTTGGGGGCTGGTCGACGGCGGTTCTCCTCTTTCCGGCCTGGGTTGGAGTAGGTGACGGAGGTGCCCACCGGCGAGGCTTGATGCTTATTTGGCTTTCGGTATCTCACCGGTCTAAGGGCTTTTAGGAGTTCAGATCTGGGCTTGAGTCTTTCTCCCCGCCATATCTGCATAACCTTTCGGGTTTGATCGAAGTTTACATGTTTGAGAGCTGTAGATCTGTTGGTCTCATTTCGTCTTTGGATCCGGGGTGTGTGCTTGGAACGAGTAGTAGTCGCAGAAGGTCCTCTAGAAGTAGAAGAGATTGTATTTTACTTTTGTTTGTAGTTGTGTGTTATCATTTTTTTCCGTTGTGTATTTGGTAAGTTTCGGCTGTGTTCGGGATAATCTCCAATGTTTGGAGTTTTTCTTTTTCTTTTGTCAAATGAAAAATATATTTAGAAACTCAAAAAGAGTACACACGAGGCGTTAAAAGACACCACTAGAGCCATAACAAAGTTTGGATCAAACTCCTTTGATATTACACAAGCGAGTAAAGGGGTACAAGCACCCGCAAACCGAAAGAACTCCATGAATGAGACAAAAAAACTCCATAAAAAGTGCCTAAAAGCCTCACGCAGTTGGACTGAAGATAAAAAACTATAAGAAAAAAAAAACCTTAATACACACCTATTTGATACGCTAAAACTCTCCTCACTACTGTCCAACAACTCTCAACCTCCCCACAACAACAACAATCGAAGACAATATAAAAAAATATAGAAACAAAGCTCAACACACATCAAGAAATTTCAAACTTCGTGCTCACTATGACTAACTCAACCCAAATCGACAAAGTTGAGCTATCCTTCCAAAACGGACCACCACCGAGAAACAACTTTGAGACCCACCGACCGTCGCTTGCCCCAACACAACTCCACAGCTTCGAGATCTAACGACCGTCGTCTTCCCCAACACAACTCCGGCAACTACAACCACAATCCCTCCCC